CAGATGCACACAAGTGGAAGGGAGTTTGCTACTTTATAGTGGAGAGCGTCGCATGAAGGAGACATTCTCTACTGTTCTGAGAACTGCAGTACTTCAGTATAGCTAGTCTTAGGAGTGACAGGCAGACCTGTGTGAGATCAGACTGGAGAGGTAGGCAGGGCCTAGATCATCAAAGCCTTGAATGCCAGGCTAAGAGACTTAAAACTGAAGACTTGTCCTGAAGGCAAAAGGAATTACTGGAGGGTTTATGCAAGGGAGTGACATGCTCAGATTTTTTATTTAGAGTCATCACTCTGTAGAGTATGGACCGGAGGAGGCAAGGGAGGGAGATTATGAGGAAGCTGTTGCAGACCACTTAAAGGTGATGGGGAACTCTTTGGTGACCTGATCTTTGGGTCAGCTTTCAACAAAATTTTTTCAGACTTGGAGCTAGTCACATGGATTAGAGAAACCGAGAAGTAAAGAGACCACATGTTTAAAATAGGTGCAACAAGTTTTGGGCAGCCCAAATGTCACCTCCTCAAGGAAGCCTTTACTCACCTGCATGTGGGCAGAGATCATCACTGTCCTTGGGGCTCACACAACACTCTGTCAATTTCTCTACTATAACATTTATCACATGCCTGTAATTATTTATTCTTTTGTTGGCTCCTCCTCTATGGGCTCTGGACTCAATGTTAGACACTGTCTTATTCATATTTGGATCTCCAGTGTTTGGAAACATCAATAAGCATTTGCTAAGTGAATGAAGGGGTAGGGGAAGCTGTGTGGTGTAGTGGGAAAGGCACTGAACTTGCTGTCTGGACCTGGGGCTCTAATCCTGGCTCTGCTACTAAGTGGCTGCGTGACTTTGAACAAGTCCCCTTACTGCTCTGGGTCTCAATTTCCTCATCTGTAAAACGAGAATAAAAATATAACCCTCTTCCTCAGGGTGATGGAGATTAAACGAGGCAACAGAACTCACCAGCTGCCTGCCCTGTTTGTGCCCTGCCCTCGTGAAACAGCCTGGACTATTTATTGTTCCTGTCATTTGGATCTCATTTGCTCTCTCTCTCTCCTGGTGAGAGCCGAGCTGAGAGCTGTTGCCTTGACGGAGAGGAAGTTTGCAGCAGTGGCATACATACAGTCCAGGTAGCCCCTGGGTTGCTGGAAGGGAAGACACCAAAAAGAGGGGAGCATGTTAGGCTACAGAGAGAGACCTGCTTTTTTTTGTGACCCCTAAAGCTGAAGGAGGACCCAAAGTGCGGAGAGTGAGGCAGAGAAGAGCTACATCATGTGCTGATGGGTCTGAGGAAGCCCTCAAACAGTGCCCAGGAATTTAGCAGCATCTGGAGGAATGCCATTTCTATGAAGACCACTCATTCATCTCATGTCATAACTTCTCAGTGCCTTGGGCTGATATGATTAACTCTATCTTGGCTTTTCAAGTTGTAAGAAAGATGTAGAGGAGAGGTAAAAAATTGCAAATGCCAAGTAAAAGGAAGACCGTTCTGAAAAAATGGAAAATCATGATTTTCGACACTGCTATCTCAAGAGATGGCTATCAATTCCCAGGTGAGCTGTCTTTCTAGAAGATCCCTAGTATTGCTCTTTTTATGTTGTAAAGGCAAACTTTTTCCGTCAAAACTTGATATAATCCCTGACTTACAAGGCATGTGGCTGGGGGTAAGGGGGAGGGGGTCCTGAAATCTGCAACTGATAATTTGTAGAGTTTTCTTGGAATACCATTTATTAAGTTTATTTAGCTGCATGGATTTGGCCTTATCACAAGACAAGTGGTCAAGGGAAGATGATGAGAGAGGGGGAAAAAGAGGGGGTCTGAGGTCAGTGATCCTTCTCCAAAGGCTAAGGTCAGTCCTTGTGTTAAAGCTAGTGACCTTAAAAAAAATAATAAAAGTATGTTTCCATTTTTTAAGGCTTTTAAAAAAATATTGTGTGCTCAGATGGCACCTTTAATCACGAAGAACTTCTGGCTGAGTTCCAGGCTGATTCTGCTGGCACAGGGAGCTCTGAGATCATACCCTATATTCAGTGCTCAGAAGAAATATTTCATCCATCTCTGAAATGAAGAGGGGAAATGGAGCATATTTGAACAGTTTCATAGCAAGCCCATATCAGGGTGAAAAGTGAAGGACACCCTATCCATCTGGAGTTACAGAAAAGTACTATTAATTCTAAGTACTTAAGTGGCATTCCCCCCCCCCCCATTTTCAGTGTTTCACAATAAAGTAAGAAGCTTGCATAAATCTGAAGGCAATCTCTTATTTCACAGATATATAAATGAAGGCAGACAGATTTTGTGATTTACCTAAGACGACTTTAAATTAAAAAAAGAAAGAAGGGAGGCAAAGAGGAAAAAAAAAACAACTCCCAAAGTAGCAGGTTGTGACCCAAGAGTTTGAGCTCTTACAGCTGAATTTAATCCACACCCAGGCCAAATATAATTCTCCAGGATGGAAATGGTCCAGGACACCAGAGCTAACATTCGCTACCTTTGCCAAAGAGCCTGAGGCAGTTTGGTGACAAGCAGTCAGAACCTCACTTCTATTTCTTAACTGAAAGAAAGTAAGACCAGAATCATCTGACAGGCGCTTCCCGTGGCAGGGGACTGGGTCAAGCCCATCCAAAGGAAGTGTGCTTCCCCTTTATTCATCATTGCCTCTTGCATCGCTTTGCAGGTCTCCTATTCAAAGGCTTATTTGTTGGACAGTTGGGTCATACAATTTCAGGTGGCAAGGTTGAATCACAGCTTTATTCCATGTGCCAGTCTTGAGCACTAGATTATATATGGCGCTGCTTCTTTCCCAAAATCTTAGCTGTGGGAAAGGCCTGGGTGCTCTGTGTATTAGAAAGTGAAACCCCACCACTAAATGATGAAAAGTGGTCCAGGCAAAAGCTGCTGTGGAAATCTGAAAGCCATTATCTTTTCCACACTTCCTCTCCTCACCTTCACTTTGTTTTGGAATATAGAGGGACACCCATGAACAAAAATAAACCAACTTGCCCTTGACTGATGGTTCTGCCTTTTGAGTTATCAAATGTGAGTACTTCTGGCTCCCAGATACGGTGAAGTAAAGAGACTGCTAGGAAGCCAGCCACAAATTAGAGTTGATCTTCCATCATCTTCTACTTAGAGGAATGGTTCAGGACAATTCAAATCAACAACGTGCCTTGCCCCAAAGTTGATGAGGCTTCTGAACCACATTTGGATTTCAGAAATGTAAGAAAGCATATAAGAATCCTGATGTTTCTCAGCTCAACCCTGTCCGTTCATTCTTACTGGCTCTTTTAAATCCACGACCCTATACTCAGTTCATACACATTTCGACTGTCTGCTCCCAAGAACTGTCTCAACTCAGTCAGAGCACCTTTAAGGAAGGCAGAATCACTTTAGGAGGTATTGGGTGAAACGTGGCAAGTCTTCCACAGGCACGAATCAATATAGCAGAGCCATTCGGGGTAGGAGGTTTTGCTAGGGCTTAAATCAGATTGTCAACCCGAACACAATGGGCTTTGTTACTCCTGTGTAAAGAGGAAACGGAGCAGTTTTTGGCCTCCCCAGACTGTATTGTAGGGTATGCAGAATGGCAATTCCAGGCACAACCTTCAGGAGACACAAATCTGCTTTTGGCTATTCAGTGTTCCTTAGCAAGTTAATTAGCTGTTTCTGAAATGCATGGAAATATTCAGCATTTTCATACTGAAGCCTATCATAGTTTTAAGCTTGGGGGGAGGGACTGGGCGTCTCTGGAAGGGGGTCTGTCAGGGAAAGAGCCCTTTTGGATAGGGACACCAACACCTGAGATTTATCTCAGAAACCATACACGCACCATAACTACAAAATATTTTTTCTGGCTTGAGCGCTCGAGCTGAGGGGCCTGCTGTGGCGCCCCACTATTTATTTCAGGTGTGGGGAGTTTCCTCTGGGTTCAAAAGTCCCTGGGTGGGAAGCGCAGAGGGACTGCGAAATGCCTCCTTAAGAAACGCCTAACTGCTCCAGGGAGAAGCCGGGACGGGTTGCAGGGGTCCATGGGCTCATCTTCTCACTGAGCGGTAACGGTCCTGCAAGTGGGTCTGGGGACCTTGGCTTTATTGGACAACTTATCATGGGGGTGGGGAGGGCTGTCCCAGCACGGTGAAGAGGTCTGTGGGGAGGGACTCTGCCCGGGGACCTCCTAAGGACCAGAAGAGCGCGCGTCCCGCCAAGTGACAGCCCGCGCCCCTCTCCGTCCGCTCCCCTCCCCCGCAGCCAGTCCCCGGCAGCGGGGATCGCGCCCGCCCGGCCTCCCCCTCTCTTCTCGCGTCCGGGCCGACCGAGCCTCAGCGGGAGCCCCGCCTGTCTCCGGGCAGCTTGAGCCCCCGAGCGCTCCCAGCCTGTCAGTAACCGCCGTTTGCGCTTTCTTTCTTTTTTTTTTTTTTTTCCCCTCTTCTTTTCTTTCCCCCTTCTGCCTTTGTCCCGCTTAGTAACTGGGCTCCGACCAATCGCCGCCTCACCGGCCGGCGCCGGCTGGCTCCTAATTGGCCCGCTTGGGGCGCGCAGCCGTCTCCCGCTCCTTGGCTGGAGCAAGGCAGACAAAAGACGCAGGCTCCGGGCTCCGGCAACCGGGATCAGCCAATCAGCGTCCACCTTGTCCCTCTTCCCCCTCCTTCCTTCGCTCCCCTCCCTCCCCGCCTGGCTCGCGTGCTCCCGGCACTGACTCCTGGCGCGCGGCCAGCGCCCGGGCCGTACCATTCTCATCGAGGCCGGGGGGAGAGAGGATGGATGGTAAAGGAGCCGAGGTCTAGAGAGCGGTGGAGGAAGTTGAAAGCCGAGATGGTGGGCAGTTTTCTGAACTCTTTCTCAGGCACCTGACAGAATCCTAGTACACTCAGGCGGGGTAGAGTGGAAGGGGCAGTGGTGATGCTGACTGTCCCCCTTGCTCGGCGCGGTTGGGTGGCGCCTCAGCGGGGGAGCGTGGGGGGGCGGGGGAGGGTGTCCCCCTCCGCGCCGTTAAAATGAAACTCTAGTGGCTGGAGTCAGGGCAGAGCGTGAGGGGAGCCGGTCCTGGCGGGCTTGCTCGCAGCCCAGCGGGAGCGCCCAGCCGAGCAGAGCTTACTGGACCCTCGGACCGGGCCCGATTCCGAGGCTGCAGCAGCTTCGGTTCCGAGCCCGACCAGAACGGAGCCCGAGTCCCGGCCCCTGAGGGGATCACTGTCTACGGACCAGTGGGACCCCAAAACTTGAACGCAATCCCCAGCCCCCTTTTTATGCCTTCCTTTGTCACTTCCCCACCTTCCTCACAACGCGTTCTTTTTTTCCCTCTTGATTCTCCCTCCCTCGAAGGACACAAAAGTGGCTTCCGCGGAAAGATTTGGAGGCGGTGGGAGCTTTTCTCTTTCGAGAGCGACGGAGTAGAAGGGATTTTTGGGACGGCGCTTTTTTAACACCTCTACCCTCCGCCCCCAAGCTTCTCTGTACCTCTCGGAGGAGAAAAGCCCGTAGATTGAAAGTTCCGGGGGCATTTTGCTGGGTGCTGGAGGAGGAGAGAGGGGGAGGAGGACCCGGTCCTCGTCCTGGTACTTGGCTGGACTTGTACCGGCCGTTGGAATCCCGAAGTACATTTCCGTGTGGGACTTCTACAGATATATATTTTTAGATTTTTAAATAGCAGATAAAAAAGATATATGCTTTCTATATATTTCTTGACAACCTGCCCCTGACAGCGCGATGTACAATACGGTGTGGAGTATGGACCGCGATGACGCAGACTGGAGGGAGGTGATGATGCCCTATTCGACAGAACTGATATTTTATATTGAAATGGATCCTCCAGGTACTTGGGAGCAAAAAAAGAATCTTGTGATGGGTTTGGTTTGTGTTTAATGAGACCTTGGTGATGTTTTCAGGGCAGAAGTCTCCCTGGGTGCGCTAGGTTTGGGATGAGGGGCAGATTTGCAGTTAGAGCCGCAGGAAAACTGCTTCTGGTTTACACGTTTAAAGTTTGCAGTTAGGATCCTGATCCTATTGTCTGCGAGGGTGGGGGTGGGGGCTGGAGTGGGGGTGGGGGCTGGAGTGGGGGTGGGAGGAGAGACCCGTTTCTTTGACTTCTTTGCCTTTGCGTGTCGTTCAGGTTTTTGTCGTGCCCCCCCCACCCCCACCCCTCTTTTTTTCTTTTTCAATTCAAGATTCTTCTACTTGCAAAGGATGCTTTATATCCTAGCCTTCAAGTCAGTCTTTCCCGTTGGGGGAATTCTTTAAAGCTTGTCATTTCAGACGTTTGTCTCATTTGGTTCGTTGTGTTCTACCTTCGTTAACTTCTGAAACTGGGTTGCCTGTGTGATTATTCATTTAAAAACCCCCTTTTTCTCTTGCAGAAACCAAATGCCGGTTAGTGATTTTCAGGGATTGGGCGTTTTTATTCAGTTATGGCCTTAGTCTGAGGTTTTTCTTCTCGGAATATAGTCGCTCAGAAAGACCTACGTGCAATATTTTATTACTCTTTAATTTATGGTGATTTAATTTATGGGATGGGGTTTAATATAACTTCAATTCTTAGAGTAAAAAAAGGAGGAACCTCCTTTTTTGCATGTGAATGTGTGATGTGTACATAGATGTGATGGGTTTGGATACACATAATGTAAAGTATACATGTACTGTATTTTTACTTTAGAGCTTTGTCTGAGACCCTTACAGACATTTTGTGTATCTGGTAGGAAAAGAAAAGGAAGGGAAAATGGAAAAGTTGGGTAATTTTTTTTCTTTAAAGTCTACCCCATTTTAGGATTATTAACTTTCAGATTTTCAGACCCTGTTTGCAATTATAGACAGTGCTTTATGTAATGATTTTGAATAAGTAGAAGGCCTTTGTGACTCCTTAGTTTCGCTGAGGATGAATTCGTTGTCTTTTTAAAATGTGTTCTAGCTAAGCCTACAGAATAAATTGTGTGTCATTGGGGAACCTCAGTTATTATAAGACTATGTATTTTTGGAAACGTTTGAAAAGATTTGAGCCCATGCAAGTGTAATGAAGTATAACTCTTATAGAATGTAGGTAGAAATTATTTCCTGTGTCCTTGTGAATGGTGAATTATCCTCTTTGTTTTTTTTAATTAGTCATAGAGCGTTAAATGATGCTATATTAAAAGCTAATGTTGAATCAACCTTTTTCACTCTTAATGACCACTTAGAATTTTTTTCTTTTCCCCTCATTTTGGAGCCTTCTTTATTTGCTTTTGTAATTGTGACTGCAATCCAGATGCAGCTTTGTAGTGTTTTGCAAAGTTTGTAAGATTTACCACCCATCTATTGTGTGTATTTCCCCCTTTGTTTCCCCCTAATGGTAAAGCATCATTTCGGTTAGATGCATTTGTCATTCATGTAAATGGAAATTTAGTACATCATTGGTTCCTCTGCTGTAAAAAGTAAGGTTAATAATTCTAGATTTCTGTTATAAGAATTACATATTCAAACTGCCTTTGAATCATACTGTGTCATATAGTATCTTGCCTTGCAGACATACAAAGGGAATTTGTTGGGTGGAGAGGTGAGTGGGGAGGAGGGGAGAAAATGAAGAAGGCAGAAATGTTTGAAAAATGTGGGCCTAGTGAAAAAATATTGGCCAAGTTGAGTTGGGTTGTCCAAAAATGATTTTTAAAAAAAGTTGACTATTATAATTATGTAGTGATGTGGGTCTTATAAGGTTGTATAGAAAATTCTGATCCAAACTTGGTGTGTTCCATGGAAATAAACTTTTGAGTTAAAATGTTCATCCTTGAATGAAATTTTGCATCCTGAGATTCTGTTTAGAATATTGAAAATATGCGTATGCTGTTCTTTATTACCCATTTTTGTAGCCTTAATGTAGAATACGGTTAATTATTTCTAACAGCTTTTTAGCACACTTGAGTATGCCGAAATGTTACCTTTGAAGTGACTGGTTTTTAATGGAAATAATGTGAGTGCCAACCTTGTTTTGTGTGATAAGTTTTTGAAACATTTAAAACTAAGTAAATTATTAGTGAAGAGGTTACGGCATGTCTTGTATCTGCCTTTTTCCTGGTTCCTATCCCAGATCAAGCTCTTATTATTTCCTGCGTGGACTGGTATGATAGCGCACTAACTGCTCTGTCCGTATCTCCCCTGTGCAATCCACAGTATTATTAAAGTATCATCTGACGATTTACCTTCCAATGGTAAATCTTCCAGTGACTTTAAAAACCTTCCAGTGGCTTCCCTTTGCCTGCTGAAAAAAGCCTCAGATTGCTTACCTTGTCATATAAGTCCCTCTGTTTTTGCTTCCAACCTAATTTTCCAGTCTATTCTCCTGGAGTCCATCACAAGTTCTCCGGAAGCTATTTTGTACTTGCTGTTCCTTGAATGTAGGCTTTTTCCTCTTCTTGGGATGGATGCCTTTCACTCTCAATGGTTACTTGTTGAAATCTTATATATGTTTAGGGCTCAGGTTAGATGCCTTCTTTGCCAGGGTGTATGTTCCTAGATTCCTTCTCTTAGAAGACATCGTTCCTTTTCCCTCCTTCTTCCAGCTCTTCTCAGATAGAACTTCTTCCATTCTGTCTAGAGTAGCTTCTGCATTTATTTATGTATACTCCCCCCTATGAATTGTCTTTTATAAACTTTTTAGCTTGCTCAGGGTCTTGCAAGTAGTAGACAATTTAATAAATAGGTGTTGAATTAACAAATATTTCAAGAACACTGTTTCTCTCTAGCCTTTAAGTGATTTTCTACTTAAGGTCCTTAGTCACCTCATTCCTTGGCTATTGCAACAGCCCAGCTTTAAGTAACTTTTGAATTAGTTGTTGACTTAGGGCCCTTAATTATAATATTAATATTACAGCTTTTAAAGTATGATTTTCATCTTAATTTTAGACTGAATCATAAATGCAAAATTGTTATCTATCATTGCTTCCAGTGGCCTCAAAAACTGTTTTTCAAATGTGTTTCCCTCCAGCCTGTCTTTTTGAAAACTACTGTTGCCATGCATCCTGAAGGTTTCTAATGACTACATGGATTGATACGTCTACTGTAACTTACCGACAATGTAAGGGTTGGATCCAAATGCAACTTTGATGTCTTAATCTTTATATATTTCCCAGAAGCAATGGAACTACTCAACTGTTTAGATGAAGCATAAAACTTTTTATTTTGGAAATACTAAGACTATTGCACAGACAATTGCTTATAAGCATCTTGGTCGCTCCTGTTGTGATGGGAATTGGGATTATTTCGTAACAGAACAGTTGCTGGATAGGCCTCTCAAAGAGCCCTGTCTTTGGTATTGGGAGCTATTAGAGCATTACCAGTACACAGATGAGCATAAACTCATGCCCAAATCTTATAGATAGTGGTCTGTTAGCTCATACTTTAGTTTTGACATTGTTACTGTTTTTATTTTGGGAAGATGTAATAAATTATTTCTTTTTTAAATTAATGGATACAGTTCTTTTTAAGATTGTAGACTTTTTGTTCTTATCAAGACAAATTTCTGAAATTATTTTTAGGGCAGCAACATCTCTTCAGCAGTAATTAGAAAATTAAAAGTTTTAATTCTTTGGCAAAACATAAATAGAAGAATGTCTGGAAAAGTGGTTCTCAATATTTTTGGGCTCGGTACACCTTTTATACTCTTAAAAAATTATTGAGAATCCCAAAGAGCTTGTGTTTAAGTGGGTTATATCTATTGATATTTACTGCATTAGAATAAAACTGAGAAATTTATAAAAAATAGTTATTTAATTCATTTAAAAGTAATAAAGCATTATATGTTAACAAAACTTTTTTTAATGAAAAAATAACTATATTTTCCAAAAAGCAAAAAAAAAGTGAGAAGAGTGGCTTTGTTTTATGTTTTTGCAAATAACTTTAATGTCTAGCTTTCTAATCATTAATGTCTGGCTTAGTAGAAGACATCTAAATTCCCATGTCTGCTCTTGCATTCATTGAGATATCACAGGTCGTAGCCTCTGGAAAACTCCAGTGTACAGTTGTGAGAGAATGAGAGTGCAAACAGCAGATAATGTCTTAGTAATACTGTGAAAATTATTTTGGCCTCTTGGACCCTCTGTAAGGGTCTTGGGGACTCGCAGGGGTCTCCGGATTACACTTTCAGAACTCCTAGTCTCGAAGTTACCTGACTGTGTAGTTTGATGGCCAACCTAGTAAAGGATCTGACTTTTTGAAGCCGGATGAAAAGATTGTTCCAGGAAACTTAGTTACTTACTCTAGCATATGTGGTGTTTTCATCCTGGTAAAATTTAGATTAAGTAACATTCTGGTGGAGAACTGGCACAGTGGCTCTGTGGTTGGGGAAGGTATCTGCAGAGAAACACACTGAAGAAATAGGTCACCTGCCACCGTGTGGTCCTTACTGTTGGCAGTTTGGGCATTCTACTTCTGGGGTTGATTTTTTCTTTATAACTCTGAACATTTGATGGGTTCATCTTAGATAAATGCTTCTCAAGTGTGTGGTAAGATATTTCTTTTATGAGCTAGGTGTCACTTTTTAATGATATTATAGTATGGGACAAATGTTAATATAAACAAATGATGTAAGAGCCTTGCCACTTTTTTTTCTCATCTTCTTACTGAAAAAGATTAGTCATTGCTTTCATTTAATATATTATAGTTTATAGTGTATCCAACTATGTTTCATTAGAAGTGTGGTGATTCTCCCTTTGATAATGCGTTTTCAATTTGTTCTCATCATTGCTTTCATGCTGAATACCTTTATGTTTTTCTTAGAATGTAGAAAAGATTGGACATGTTTGTGGTCACCATATATAACAAGGTAGGTAGAAAAATAGTTACATATATGTCTATGTGATATGATATAATTTTTATCGATATTAAAGGGAGATGCAGGCTGAGTGTGGTAGAAAGAACACAGGCTTTAGAAACAGATGATAGGGGTCCCAAACCTAGCTTTGCTTCCTACCCTGCCCAAGGTTGTTTAGCTAGTACTTAACCTCTCTGAGCACCCATTTTCTCTTTTGTAAAATTGAGCTAATACCCACCTTTCAGAGTTGTTCTGGGAATTAGACATACTGTATCAATATGTAGCACAGTGTTTGGCACGTGGTATGTTCCCAGTTCATTGTAGCTTATATCTTAAAGCATGTTGATAACCTATAATTATTCCAAGTCTACCTCTTTGCATACTCTTGCAGTCAGAACCTTTTGAGCTATCTTGCCCCATTCTTTTCTTCATCCCTGACATTTAAACTGGGGCCATTTTGTTTTGGGAACAGTTCTCTAGGGTCTTTTCTAGTTATAACATCTTGTGAGTCTATGGAAATTTCGCTCCAAGTCATCCTTTCTGTTTAGTTTCTAATGTTGTTGTCCACTTCCTCATCACCTCACACTTGAAATGATTTGTATTGAAGGTAATAGTTGCTAATGTTTGTTGAATAATTATTGTAGCCCAAGAACTATGTTGAATGCTTTTATATGTGCTATTTCTTTTAGCCACACAGCAACCTTATAAAATAGGCACTATTTATCTCACTTTACAGACAGGACACTGAAACTTAGATGTGTTTAGTAACTTATTCAATGCCCCACAGCTAGCAAGTAGCAGAGCAGGTCTGCCTGTCTGACTCTTAACACTCAGGTTCTTAACCGGTACCTCCTAATTGGTTGCTGTTTCTGGTTTCTTCTTCCCGGCTGCCATAAATTTATCCAGAATTTTTCAGCCGGGTTAATCCTACTGAAATGTTATTTTCATTGTCTTACCACTTTACTTAGAAATAATCAGCGACTCTCCATTTCTTTTTAGAGGCCATATTCTTAAACTTAGCATACATGATCTTTAGTAATATGGCACCAATTTACATCTCCAACTTAATTACCAATCTTCTATTCTCATTTCTCTTCTAGCCTCATTTCTGGCTATCCCCGGAATATACCTTGCTTATTGCCATCTCCAGCCTTTTGCTTATGCTGCTTCTTATGTTAGATTATGCCCATCCCATCCCCATCTTCAAATCAGGATCCTTTGCAAGTTCCTCTTCCTTCATTTCTTCCTCCAAAAATTCTAACACTGAACCCCTTAATTATCTAGGGCTATGGTCTATTATTTTGACACAAAATCTTGGTTATATTATGGCATTTAATTATTTCGTGAATATAATTTGTCCCCCCAACAGATAAGCTTCTTGAGATCAATCTGTTGTATTTCTTTTTATCTTTTTTTTTCCCCTAAACACCCAGTGCCCAAATATTTTGTTAAATCTTAGGTCTGTGGACCCAACCAGCTTCATTTTGTGACTTCAGTTTTAAAATGTTGATATTATTTATTATCAACATGTGACCTTTATACTTATAAAGATAATTTATTCTAACAAAGCAAATAATGAAAAAAATGTAACACAATGTTATTAGCAAAACTTTATGGTTTTGAGTAAGAGTCATTTTTGAAATTTTGAAGAATTAGAAGTGAGTAGTAAGTTTTTGAAAGTTTGTTAGGCTCATTTTACACAGTGCTGGGGCAAATGTAGGTTTTTTTTTTTTTGAGGTTATGATAGTTTACAACCTTGTGAAATTTCAGTTATACGTTATTATATGTCAGTCATACTATAGGTACACCACTTCACCGTTTGTGCCCACCCCCACCCCACCTTTCCCCTGGTGACCACTAATCTGTTCTCTTTGTCCGTGTGTTTGTTTATCTTCCACATATGAGTGGAGTCATACAGAGATTGTCTTTCTCTATCTGGCTTATTTTGCTTAACGTAATACCCTCAAGGTCCATCCATGTTGTTGTGAATGGGACGATTTCATCCTTTTTTGTGGCTGAGTAGTATTCTGTTTGTGTGTGTGTGGCGTGTGTGTGTGTACACACACACGCCACACATACACACCATATGTTCTTTATCCAGTCATCAGTTGATGGCCACTTAGCTTGCTTCCACATCTTGGCTATTTTGAATAATGCTGCAGTGAACACTGGCATGCATGGATTTCTCTGAATTGCTGATTTCAAGTTCTTTGGATAGATACCAGTAGTGGGATGGCTGGGTCATATGGAATTTCTATTTTTAATTTTTTGAGAAATCTCCATACTGTTTTCCATAGTAGCTGCACCAGTTTGCATTCCCACCAGCAGCGTATGAGGGTTCCTTTTTCACCACAACCTCTCCAACATTTATTATTTTTTGTTTTGGTTATTTTAGCCATTCTAGTGGATATAAGGTGATATCTTAGTGTAGTTTTGATTTGCATTTCCCTGATGATCAGTGATGATGAGCATCTTTTCATGTGCCTATTTGCCATCCATATATCTTTGGAGAAATGTCTGTTCATATCCCCTGCCCATTTTTTGATTGGGTTGCTTGATTTTTTGTTGTTGAGTTGTATGAGTTCTTTATATATTGTGGAGATTAAGCCTTTGTCGGATATATGATTTGCAAATATTTTTTCCCAGTTGTTGGGTTGTGTTTTTGTTTCAATCCTGTTTATCCTTGCCTTGTAGAAGCTCTTTAGTCTGATGAAGTCCCATTTGTTTATTCTTTCTGTTGTTTCCCTTGTCTGAGAAGATAGGGTGTCTGAAAATATCCTTTTAAGACTGATATCAGGGAGTGTACTGCCTATATTTTCTTCCAGAAGTCTTATGGTTTCAGGTCTTCCCTTTAAGTGTTTGATCCATTTTGAGTTTATTTTTGTGAATGGCGTAAAAAAAAGGTCTATTTTCATTCTTTTACATGTGGCTCTCCAGTTTTCCCAACACCATTTGTTGAAGAGACTTTCTTTTCTCCGTTGTATGTTCACAGCTCCTTTGTCAAAGATTAGCTGTCCATAGATATGTGGTTTTGTTTCTGGGCTTTTAATTCTGTTCCATTGATCTGTGTGCCTGTTTTAGTACCAGTACCATGCTGTCTTGATTACTATAGCTTTGTAGTCAAATGTAGGTTTAAGTTACCCAATGTGTTATTATACCAATTAAATTTAGAATATGTAGCACTTGACTTGAGATAACAGGGTAAGGTCAGCCATCGAGCCTTGTAAAATCAGTTTCCAAACTGTTTCCCCATATATGGTATATTT